CCTAGAGGGGCTCGGAATCTAGGACCTCTCTGGTCAGGCAGGAGCGGGGCAGCCTAGAGGGGCTCGGAATCTAGGACCTCTCTGGTCAGGCAGGAGCGGGGCAGCCTAGAGGGGCTCGGTATCTAGGACTTCTCTGCAGGTTAATAGGCTTGACTACACCAAAACACTTAAACTATGTATAGAGGGACGCTTGAGCCCCAGCCTGAATAAATACTTCAGCAAGGCATCGTGAGTTGGGGTTAATCTAAAAACAAACACCAGCACCGCGATCCTTCTGCACTGGTATTTCCCAATCCAGTACTCAGGGAACCGCAGATGGGCCACATTTTTGCTCCCTCCCAGCTACCAGTAGAGCAAAACCATGGACTGTCTCTGCTGTTCCCCGAGGGCCGGGCTGAGAAAGACTGCTCTGCACCTTGAAAGATAACAAGGACATGAACACGGACTGGCTGAAACCGTAAATATGAAATTGATGATTCTACTTGGCATTTAAATGACTATACATTTAGGAGCACAGGTAGATTAGAATGTGTTAGTCTTTATATATCCAGTCCTGCTGTCCTTTCAGATACACACACAGATACAGAGGCGTGAGCGGAGCTTAGGGTCAGCCATTTATCTGGTGCGCCTGGAGCATTTTTTGGGGGGGTTATGGGCCTCTCTCAAGAGCCCAGTGGAGATGTGGCTATTCCACCGAGCACGAGGTTCGAGGCACCAGAGGCACTGCCCACAGGGGGTTAGGGGCCCTCACCTGCCGAATGACGCCCCCCTCCCAAGACTCCGGAAGGAGCTGTGTTCCATGGCCAAGGCAACGGTGTCACTGTACCCCGCGGGAGGTCTCTTCAGCCTGTTAGGGATGGGGAGTGCAAACATGAGGAGGAGCTTCAGCCATGTGGTGCCAAACAGCAGCTCGCACCTTGGATTCCTGGGGGGGGGGGTTTCTGAAATTACAATGACGGCTGACACTCCACAGTCACAGTTGGGGCACTGCAATTACACCCTCATCAACAGCCGACCCAGAAACCCGCTATGGAAAATCAGGGCACGTGCACATCCAAGTGACCCCTCCTCCATATAAGAGACTTAGGGGGTGCTGCGCCACAAGCTGAGGGACGACAACAGTCACACTACACACTCCAAGCACGGACGGACGATGAATTATTCATCACTATTTCTGCATGAGATCCACAGCAAACATTTAAATGCATTACACAGCGTGCTTTTTCTCATTTGCAAACAACTTCAGAGCCCCGCAATGTGCTCTCGATGCCATGAGCCCCCAGCACAGCTACGGGACACGGCACTGACACACAGGCGCTAGGAGAAAGAGCATACCACTGCCCTAACATGCACAGCAGGCTGACTGGGTCTCTGCACATTCTTGGGGATCTTGGTACCAGTCAAAAGATTTGCATATCAACAATTTTTTACCACTTTTCCATTTATCTAATAAACCACAGATTTTATTATTCTTTTTAAGCTTTGAAAGAAAATTTAGTGAACAACTACAAATGAAACATTTAAAACAAAGTTTTAAAACAAGTTTCCTTTATAACATGGAAATAGTACGTAATAGTGAATGTCTGACACCCTATTAACTGGTTGTGTGGTGATGGCAGAGTCAAATTCTAGGCTGTCCTTTAACTTTAAATGCACAAGTTACCTGTTTCATCCCACAAGTGAGCAGTATTTAATGTCCCTTGTAGAAAGAATGCCTTGAATTTTATCTGTTGTTATAACTGCTAGAGGAGGTTACTTTGATGAATCAAAAAAGGTACTTAGCTAAAAGGTACTTAAAAATACTGTAAATTTATTTGACAGCAAAGAATATTGAGTGTATTTTTAGTAAATATTAAGTGAGTAACATGCAAATGTAGAAAATCTCAGTGTGTACAAAAACCTTTGACTGGTAATGTATGTTGGCTGGACTTTTGTACATTTTAGGGGGTATTGGTATGCTGATTGGACATAGGTACATGCTTTAGGGGGTATCGGTATGCTGACTGGACATCGGTACATGCTTTAGGGGGTATCGGTATGCTGACTGGACATCGGTACATGCTTTAGGGGGTATCGG